GCTTCCTTCTATAAATAAATATATGAAAAATTGTATAAATTCCAATATTTCTTTTTTGTGATCATGATGCTTTAGTAATCCGTTTCTGTCACTTGTCGGTAAAATATTAAATTGGATTGATATTAACTACATATTCTATATCATTGCAAAAAAGGGACCATCTAAAACTGTCGGACAAGTGAATCAAATTTACCTTGAATTTTCTTTTTCTTTGTTCAGCATGAAGGTTGGTTTGAATTTGGATACTGATGCAGCAATGATATTAAAAAAAATGAACCACTAGATTATATATTCTTAAAAATCATATGAACATGCATTTATAAAGGTCCTAGAATATGTTATACCACCATCTAGAATCCATGCATATACAGATTCACCACTTTAATAATAATGCAACATACTAATATAATGATTTCTCAAAAAAAAATTAATATAATGTTGACAACTAATTAAAAAAAATAAGAAGCAAACTAACTGATGCCGGCACAAACAGAATCAAATGCAAACTAACTGATGCCGACACAAACAGAATAAAATGCAAACTAAACAATCATGTTGCTCGATTAATAGAGGTTAAGATTTTTTTCTCGACGACTCTTTTTTCTGTACGTTTTCAAATTATATTAAAGGCAAACTAAAAGTGAGTCATAGTATTACTCTATTGGTCGAGGTTAAGACTAAATAAATCATACTCAATGACTTTCCTTTTCTAAACGCTTTCTGATATCATCTAAAGGCAACAAAAATAAGAACAGCTAAGTGATAATATTAATCTTATAATGGAGGTTAAGAGATTATTCTGCAGCTCTGTTTCCACACTCTTACAAATCAATTAGTGCGGCTGCAAATTTCTGAATATACAGAAAACTTCCAACCATATAAAAGAAAGAATGGTAGTGGAGAAACAGGGATAGAAAAATCATTATGAACAATTTCAGTACAAGCTACAAGAGCCCACGTGATCTTAGTCAAATTCAATCTACCATTTTGACTAGTAGGTGACAGAGATGTAGGCATTGTTTGTTTTGATTGCATCACATTCACACTGCTTGTTTGAAAAGAAAAGAAAAAAAGTGAACTAATTTTATTTAAATACATGATTTAGAGATAATTGAGATTTTAAGCATCAAGTTAACACAACTTTATATTCTTCATGAAAAGAAGGTTAACTTATTTGCTTATTACAGATACAATAGTGAATGTGATGAACAGTTTCTATATCTGCTTAAAATTTCTCAAGGTCCAAACGCTTCAGGGTTTCTCATGTTATACTGAAGGCACCTTAAAGTTTCAGAAAGCTCATCAATGCGTGGGTGTGAAGTACAGTCACCGACTACAAAAGCTGAAACATGGTTACCTAGTTCAATCCAGCTACATCCAGGTGTCTTCTTCATGCCTCGTTCAACCATTTCTCTCCTCACATCTTCTGCTTCCTTCCACCTCCCACTCGAGCAGTACAAGTTGGACAACAGAACAAAACTCATCTCCTCGCTTGGTTCTGCCATCTTCAGAACTTTACTAACCTCTCTGCCTAACTCTGTGTGCCAATGCGTAGAACAAGCACCCAAAAGAGCTTCCCATGAACTATTATTATTACTATTACTAGCGTTAGAGACAAGTGAATTATAAGCTGTAGCCAGCTCCTTTGCTTCTGCTAGATGTCCACTTCTCCCAAACATATCTATCATACATGTTACATGATCTACTTCCAACGGGATTCCATAATCTTTAACCATGGATCTGAAAATCTTGCACCCTTTCTCTACAAGTCCTGAATGGCTGCAAGTTGTCAGCAATCCAATGAATGTCACCTTGTCTGGTTTAAGACCTGACGCTATCATGTTGTCATAGAGCTTCAGAGCTTCATCTGCTAACCCGTGGACACCAAACGCGAAAAGCATCGTGTTCCAAGAGACCAAATCTTTGTTCACTATATCACCAAACGCACGGTTTGATTCATTGATGTCTCCACATTTAGCATACAAATTAACCAAAGCGTTACCAACATAAGCGTAGCCTTGAAAGCCACGATGTATCAAACAACCATGGATCATTCTCCCCTGTCCTAAAAGCGCTAATCCTGAACAAGCATGAAGAACAGACCCATATGAATAATGATCTGAATACACCTCAGATCTCATCATCTCAACGAAAAACCTCAGTGCTTTCTCTCCATCACCGTTCTTACCATACCCTGCAATCATAGTAGTCCAGGTAATGATATTTCTCTCAGGAGCTAGTTTAAAAACCTTAAGAGCTTTCTCTGTATCTCCCGTTTTCATACACGCGTCAATAATAGCATTCCAAGATACCTGAGTCAAGACTTCACTAGACTCAAACTCTCTCATTGCATCATCTTTGCATCCTACTTTCGCGTAGAAACTCAACACAGAGTTCTTGGCCTCAACCGCAGAGTCCCACCCGTTCTTCACCATAACAGCATGAACCATCCGTCCATAAACAAGATTCGATGAATCACCACCACAAGCATTCATCAGAGAACTAAACGTGTAACAATCCGGTTCAGACTCCCTCTCAAGCAACATCTCTTTGAATAAACTTAAACAAGATTCAATCTTTCCACACTGAGCATGACCAGAGATCATTATATTCCACGCATACAAAACCCTTTTAGGCATTTCAGAAAAAACATTCAAACCAGCTTCAAACTCTTCACCATTCATATACGCAAACAAAAGCGAGCACCAAGTTACTTCATTTCTACTATCACTACACATCTCTCTAAACACTTTGTTAGCGCTAAGAGTGTCAGAACACTTACCATACATGTCAATAAGAGAATTGTTCACCTCCAACGAAGCATCATAACTAGACCGGATCACTAGAGAGTGAACCTGTGCTCCGAATCTAACATCACGTAGACTCGCACAGGTGCTCAAGATTGCTGTAAATGAATAACCATCAGGCTTAGCGTCTGAGAATCTCAATTCGGTGAAGATCGAAATAGCTTCTTGATGTAAACCTAACTTGGAATAGCTCGTCAACATTGTGTTCCACGCCACTGTGTCTCTTTCAGGCATTTCGTCGAACACATGGCGCGCACTTGCTATACGACCTGATTTCGCTAAAGACGCAACCTTTGAAGTAAGACGAAACAAAACAGACATTCGGTTATGTTTATGAAGTCATACCGGATCTGTTTTTTTTTGTTTGCAAAGGCGGTGCAATGTAGAATCAAGAAACAGAGAAGTCTGATGAAAACTGCATTTTGGTCAGAGCCTCAGAGGGAGTTAACATTTTCCGGCGTCATTTGCAAACACAATCAATTGTATAATCACCAGAATTTTGAAAGGGGTTTTTGGGTCAGCAAATAGTTGTATTGCCGCCAAATTAATGTAAAGTGACACAATTGGTTTCATAGCGGTTTATATAAGGGCTAATGAGGTGAATATACAAAATGGAGATGGTAATTGCAGAATCATGCATTATTTTTTAATATTTGCAGAATCATGTAGCTGAGAGGAGTAAAATTACTATGTTGCCCTACGACTCCTGCACATCTAGATAGTAAATGTTGCGTGAGAACTTTTGAAGAGCGTGGTATGTATAGGTAGACGACAAAATAGTGATA